TCAGTTGAACTTGTTTTTAATATAGTGTTTGAACATTTTCAAATAACCTTAATAGTATATTATCTCAATTATGTGAATTTTACAAATTTAATTTTAATCAAAGATACAAATATTTAATAATAATTTTTGATTTGTCTTAAATTGAAATATATATAAACTGATAACAAAAATGTGGTACTGGACATTTTTACTATAAAATATAGTTTTAAATATAATTTAAATATTTTTTTGTTAAAAAAACAAGGAAAAAAGCAGCAGTTTTTTTCAAGTAAAATTTTTAAAAATCTAAATTTTACTTCTAAAGCCGCGTTTTTGAAGACAAACTAAAAATATGTGTAATTTCAATGTTTTTTATAAAAATAATAATAATAATAATCAAACAGGATGATTAAAAAATCAAAATAAAATTGTTTATATGTTTGAGAGAACAAAAATTCAGGGGTGGCCAGAGCTTAAGCTGAAAGGGGGACTTATGATTTTTTAATGAAACTTTTTGGAGTATCCAAGCACGATATCTCAAATATTAAGAAAAGTCAACAACATTTTAAGTATTAAAAAGGTCAGTTTATTGGTCATTTGTTATTATCAATTAAGTTTATTCGTTTTGGCATTAAATATTGTGTTTTAGTTCATATTTTGTATTTTCTATTATTTTGCCTTATTATTAGTTAATCTATTATTTCATTTAAGTCTGTGTTGGTCTAAAATCCACACAGCTTTTATTTTGAAATATTTGTTAATTTACATAAAGTTCGAACAAAAAGCCGCGGTTTGATTTAAATAATCTTAGGACAAATTTGCCATTTTTTCTTCTGTTTTACAAAAAATTTTCTTTAATAAGTATAAAAAATATTAGAAAATAATGTGGTACTGTGGACACTAATTCAACATTTTTTGGAAGCCAAACAAAAACTAAAAATGAGGAAATTGGGTTTAAGCAATTTATTGGTAGTACCAACTTTTTGTTAACAGTTTATATATATATTCAAGCTATTAGCTAATGACAAAATAATATCAATTGTAATATGTAAATTAAATGTTGTATTTCATTACACATTTCATAAAACGTTTAAACATCTTAAAATATGAAATATAATCTCAAAATTAAATACCAGTGATAATTTTTAAATGTTGAAACAGAACATAAACAATTTTCATTGAATAATATACAGATTTTTCAAATATTGTTCTTTTGTTTTTTGTATGTTATTCAAATAATGTTTTAAGAACTATACTCTGAAAAATTATGTTATTATTTTTTAATTATTTCTTATATATTTTTTCAATCATATTATTTATATAATTAATGATTTAAGTTAAATTGTTATTTAATTCTACTCAACAAAAATAATTCTCTGTTTATTGTCATTATTGTTTTAACTGTATGTTTTAAAAATGATTAAAAACACAATCAATTAATAAATAAAATGTATATAATTAAAAAGCAATTTTTAAAATCAATTAAAATAACCAAATATTAATGTTTTTGTCATTTTTGTTTAAAGTCATCGTTTCAAATTTTATAAAAATATTATTACACATAATAGTTAGTAACTGTTTCATGACACAATATACTGAAACATAACAAATATATTGTTTTTCAGTCAAAAAATGTCTGTTTTATGATCTAAAATAATATGTGGGATTTTATGTCCGTCTTAAATTACTG